CGATGGCACATAACAACAACAACATAGTGATTTTGTGTATTTCCTTTATCATCTTATCTTTTCTTTAAATTATATATTGATTTGCTTACAAAGTTCATATGAATAAGTATGGAGTATGAATACAGCCCTGGCACACATTTTTCTTAACTCTAAACCAGGTAGTACACTTTTGCTCTCTCCACATAATAGCTTCTTAGTCTAGGTATAAGTTACACATGAGCACAATTAAGTATTCTAGGGTTTCCATTCTTCTCAACGTTAGCCATAACTTATTATAATCCAAAGTCAAATGCCTTTGCATAGTCAAGAAAGCAAAAACAGGCGTGCGCCGGGCCCAGTGCACTCTGCGGTGTGGTCCGCGGCGTCGGCAGCAAGGCTGGCGAGGGGCCGCCGAATGGCCGTTCCGGGCCTGGCCGGCTCAGGGCCCCACGGCTGCGGGCCGCTGGCCGAGACAGCGGCAGCGGCCGAGGAGAGCGAGGCTCTGGTGAGGACGAGGAGGAGGAGGCCCGCCGCCAGGGCCAGCTGCCTTGGGACGGCTTCTCCGCCTGGCTGCACTGCGTATGCGTGGTGGGCTTCGACCTGGAGCTGGGCCAGGCCGTGGAGGTAATTTATCCTCAACATTCCAAGCTTACGGATAAAGAAAAACCAATATTTGCTATTTGTCTTTTCCAGATTCAAATTCAGGTTGTCTTGGAGATACCCAGTATTGTTTTAGATTTCATGAGCCTTCTGGGCGGAGGATATCATTGCATTGTCTCCTGGATAAGTTTGACAAAGATTTACCAGTTTACTTAAAGAAGGATCCTGCTTATTTTTTTTTTTTTTTAACAATCACATAAGGAAGCATTTATTGGAGGTTTAACATGAAATCATACAAATAAAATTTGTATAAACACAAATCCACATCTAGTCAAAACACAGCAAAGGACAAAGTAAAAACAAAGAAAACTAATTGGCAGCTATGTACAGTTGGACACAATTGTGTCTTGTTCACTAGAAAGTCTTTTACAAAATAATCATCTGAGATCAACAGAAGATCAATCTTCACCGTTGCCTGCATGATGGGTTACTTTAGCATCTCCTCTGTTTTTTGTCAGTGACCTTCTTTAGTATGGCTGGTAATTGTTTTGGTGATTGCCACCTCCTCGAGATGCCTTGCCATATGTGCTCTGTTGACCACTGTAGTCTGCATATCCCTGTCCATATCCATAGTTCCCATAGTTATACCCAGTATAATCATACCCACCATAACCACTATAGTTTTGATCGCCACCATAGGCACTATTGTAATTTCCATATCCTTGATCATAACAGTTATTAAATCCTTGGTTCCAGTTTTGGCCCTGACCTCGTCCACAACACCTACTATCACCTCGCCCACCAGCTGCAGCACCTCTTCCTCCTTTCTGTTGTTGTTGCTGCTGCCTATATACCTCTTTGGGTTGTGCAACTTTGATTTCACATTTCCCAGAACCAATTTGATGATATCTACTTTCTAACAATTTCTTTACTGGCTCTTCATCTGTATATGTGATAAAACAAAATCCTCTTCTTTCATTGGTTTTTGTATCCATGGGAAGTTCAATATTTTCAATCTCTCCAAAAGCTCCGAAATATTCTTTAATTTGCTCTTCAGAAGTATCTGGGCTCAATCCACCTACAAAAACTTTTTTGGGGGGTTCCTTCCCTTTTAAAGCTTTAGCTCTTTTGGGGTCTATCAACTTGCCATCCAGTTTGTGTTCTTTCAGTTCCAAAACTTTATCAACACTAGCAGCATCTTTGAAAAGTACAGATCCAAACCCTCCTGACCGTCCAGTGACTGGATCTGTTTTAATCTTGCAGTCTACCACCTCTCCAAACCGAGACAAATACTCAGTCAGATCTTTCTTGCTTGTATCCCAGCTCAAGCCTCCAATAAACATTTTACCGTCATCCTGCTGATTCTTGCTCGCGTTGATCTTGGATCCCTCTGCGTACTCTTCTATGTTGCTGTACTCGTTCATGTCCTCCATTGTGGCGGAACTGTCAGGAGGGTGGTGCTGGCGCGCGGACCGTGTTGCGGCAGCAGCCGTGGCGGTGGAGCATTGTATGGAGCTGGATTTAAAATGGCGGCGGAAGAGCGATCCTGCTTATTTTTATGGATATATGTATTCTGACAAGTACGAGATAAAACTCTAAAAAGAGGCTACTTTCAGAAGTCTGGTTTTGATCAGCAAACTACCTTATACTCATTTCTTTCACACTGTGCTAAAACAGATAGCACCAGAGTATTTTGAAAAGAGCGAACCTTATTTGGAAGCAGCTTGTAATGATGTTGATCGATGCTCCAGTGCCAGGAAAAACGTTGCAGCTCCCCATCATGGGGGTGGTAATGAAGGTCCGGATTCCAACATGTCATGACAAGCCTGGAACAACTCAAATGGTGCAGTTAACTCAGCAGGCAGATACAAATATATCTGTTATTTTGCCTACTGTGCATGAGGTGGATCTTTTCAAGTGTTTCTGCCCCATTTTCTTTCATAGTCAGATGCTGCGGGAGTTGGTACTGTTGGGGAGAGCCCCTCGTGGTCATGGCGCCATCGTCGTCAGTCATCGGAAATTGTGCTGGCTCTTGTTAGCTGTATTTCCCCACTTAAAGTACTGCAGCGATTTCCGGCCCTATTTCACAATTCATGATAGTGAATTCAAAGAGTGCACCACTCGTACTCAAGCTCCGTCCTTGGTCATATTAGGAGTAACCAACTCTTTTTTCACTAAAACACTCCAGCACTGGCCACACATTGTTTGAATAGGAGACCTTAATTAAACCTGCAGGTGAAATCCCTAAACCGGTCAACGTGAAAAAGCTGAAGAACCTAAATACCCTGGATTCTAAGGTTGAAGTCTATACTTCTTATAAGCCATATCTAAACAAAGATGAAGAAATTATAAAACAGTTGCAGAAGGATGTAAAACAGAAACGTCCTGCTGAATGAAGCTCAAAGTGTTATTCTTCAATGCTATTTTTTGGAACTGACACAAAGCTTCATCATTCCATTAGAAAGATAGGTTGCAAGCTTGATTTCTTTACAGAAAAGTATTTCCCCAAGGAAGAGTCCACCCCAGTTAAGACAGTTGCATCCAGAAGAATTTATGAAAGCCCTCAAGAAAACGGGCCCTCAGCTGACCTCTAGAATAAAAGGCGACTGGATCGGACTTTACCTGCATTTTTTAAAATCTCCTAATTTTGATGGCTGGTTCAGGACGCGGAGGAAGGAAATGACCCAGAAATTGGAAGCACTCCATCTAGAAGCTCCTTGTGAAGAGGACTTACTTCTGTGGCTACAGAAACATACAGAAGTAGAAACTGTAGACCTTGTATTGAAGCTAAAAAACTGATGCAGGCTGATCGAGAGTGTTTACCTGTGAAAACTGACACTATGGAAAAGTTGGGGACACACATAGACACAATTATCTTAGCATCGCCAGAGGACCTCCGAGGCATTCTGCTCAAAACAGGCATGACGTGATAGTTGCCAAGATTCCCATGCAAGAAGGATGTGCACCCCAACAGCAGACTGACATTTCAACCAAACACACAAAAGAAATGTCTCTGTGGCAAACAAGTGGAACTCAGCTGTGGATGTCAGCTACAGAGTGGAAAGATTGTATTGTATAAACAGACCTTTTTAGTGCATTATTTTTTAAAATGGATATATGTGATGGTTCCACTTTAACCGAAACACCGAAAGACATTTCTATATTTTTAATCATGTTTCTAAAGTGCTCTTATGAGAGACCTGTGGGGCCATCAGTGTAAGTGATTCCAAACTGCAGTGCTGGCATTGCAGGTATTTTTTTTTAAATTGGTGCTGCTCTGCCCACTCATGTAAAACACAGGGGGATATAAAAATAACATTCACACTGGCTAGCTTCTTAAGAAGAAGGGAAAGACTGACTTGTTCAAGTAGAGTTAGAAGTAGTTAGTGCTTATGTAGTGCCTTCCGTTGTCCTGCTTGTCTCAGAGCCCAGCTGCTTAGTCTGTTTCTTATCATGATACATAATTTTATAATTGTTCTCTTGGGTAACCAATGCCTAACAATTAATTTCTTGCCTCCCACTGTTTTTATTACTAGGTTGATTTGGCTTGGTGTGTTTGGGGTATTTATTTTTTTATTTTTTTTACCAGTTGCCATGTATAAGACTTTAATTTCATTAGCATTTTCAAAATTTAAGCATCAGTTTCTTCAAAGGCAAGATAACATTAGTATTAATTACGGAGTAAAGAAGGAAGAGTTTATTTCCTCAACTTTCACTAACTGAGCCCTTTTAGATTAATTGAGTGTTTTTAAAAAACATTTGAATTCTAAACCTCATCATGAGCTGTGTTTTGAAACTGAACTACTCTTGCTTCAAATATATTTTGAAGCCTTTTATGTGACAGTCATTGGAGTGTTTATAAGATTGGTTTTTTTAGTGGCATTATTTGTTTAGTTGGGTTTTCTTGTCCCTAACATTTCTCAGACCATTTTTTCTGCTGTTTTTGACATGGGATCTTTTGCCTGGATCACTGTTATAGCTTGGGATTTTTGTTATTGTTGTTTGTGTGTTTGTTATTTTTATTTTGTTTAAACTGTATCACCTTGCCAAAAATATAAGAATGTGGTCAGGAAAGGGAAGATACCTTGGTTTGAATAGGAGTGTCCTACAGAAGGCACTATTTAAAACAGGAACACTCGGCATAGCACATATGTAAATAGCTGTGTCTTGAACTACCCTGTAAGTAACCAAAAACAGTTGTAATTATTTGTACAAGAAAAAAAAAAGAAAGAAAGCAAAACCAGACATTCTTCTTGCAGCCCAGATCAATTTTCTTGCAGCCCAGATCAATTTGACATCAGTAATGATATTCCTAGTGCCATGGTCTCTTCTAATTCCAGCTTGAACTTCAGGTAGTTCCTTGTCCATGAATTGTTTTGGCCATTTTGAATGATCTTCAGCAGTATTTTTTTATGCATGATAGTAATAATAATAGTAATAACATTGCTCGGTAATTTCCATCTTCTGTTGAAGACAGAAGTCATGGGACTGAGAACAAATACGGAACTCTTCCAGTCAGTCAGCTGTTGTTCAAATTTCCTGGTATACACTAGTGAGCACATCCAAGTCTGCATCTATCAGTTGTAACATGTCAATTGCTAACCTGTCGATTCCTGGGGCTTTATTTTTTTTGTGTGAATACATTCATTGCAGCTTGAACTTCTTTCTTCATTACCATTGGGTCTTGAACTTGTGGTATTTTCTGGAATATTTCAGTGTTGGCCAATTCTTTTCAGTACAGTGATTCTGTGTACTCCCTTTATCATCTTATCTTTTCTTTAAATTGTATATTGGTTCCCTTACAAAGTTCATATACACTGCTTTTTACACTATTCTTCATTCACATTGTGTTTCATACAATCATTCCCATGCATTATGTTTTATAAAATTAAATACTATAAAATTAAATTTAATTACAATTAAGCTTGGCCATCATTTCCCCTTGGCACCAGTAGCCAGGAAATAAAAAAATGTATTGCGATGGGAAAGTCTGCTCTTAGGGACCTCTCCAGGGTACTGAAGAGCAATGGTGTCATTCTGGAGACTAAGGTGCATCTGATACAGACTATGGTCTTTGCAATAACTTGTTATGCATCAGAGAGTTGGACAGTGACTAGAAAGGACAGAAGGAGAATTGATGCCTTTGAGCTGAGGTGCTGGAGAAGAGTATTGAATGTACCATGGACTGCCAAGAAAACAAACAGATTCATCCTGGAGAGG